ATAATTATATTAAAAATAATATAAAAACTTATTCTTAAATTATTTTTCTTACAGGTGTTTTTAGATTCAAGTGCTATAAAGTATTATAAATTTAGATTAGTTTAAAAATGTTGAATTCGTGAATCAAGTTTTTAGGCTTAGTAGTTCGTCCCTACACTTTAATATTTGGATTGAGTTAATTGAGAATTCAACTGTTGACCACCACTTGAAAAAATTCTACTCCGTAATTCTCCAATGTTCAAAAAAAAAAAAATGTTGAATTCGTGTTCATGGCTTCACATCACGACAAAATTCGAGCCTCTTTCTACAAATAATTCAGATTCAGCCATGTTTTGGAATTTGTACGATGTACGTTAAATCGTTCTTGCTTTTTTTTTTTTGTGAAAGTAGGCAATGAAATTAAGTCGTTCTTACTCAATCAATAATTGATGATGAAAAGTTCAAATTCATAAACCAATAACTCCACCACAAATTCAAAAAACGTTGTTTGGCGATGGTGTAATAGATGTTTTTTACATGACATTAAAATTCAAATCTCAAGTTTTTACTAATTTTTTTTTAGTAATACTCAAGTTTTTACTAATTAAGTAACTTTTTTAGATAATTTAAAGATCTTTATTTCACACAACATTGATAGTTCAGACTATATTAATAGAAATGCCCAGAAAGAAGACAAAACGAAGGTACAAAAAAGATGCCCAATAAGGGTTGATGAAGGGATAGTTCGAGCAAAAGGTAAACTCGTCTCCTTTTCAAAACCCAAAAGAAAATTAATAATTCATCCCCTCCACCCAAAAAGGAAAAAAGAGAAAAATTAACACACCGTGAAAACGTGGGTTATTCCAGGGGGAATTAAATAATCAAAATAGCAGCCAGCATGACGCAGGCCGGACTTGACCCACATCTAGCGTCTAGGCTATTCCAATCATATATACTTTAGATCCACCATTATTGTGATTGCAAATGTTGTTTTTATGTAAAGGAGAAGGGCACCCCACAGAGTCGTGAAGAAAATGGCCATTCCATTTGGGGAGTGCCTTGCATTTCGAAGAAAAACATCTATTTCAAACTTGGTCAGGAATCATATGACTGAAATTATATTGAGCTTGTGCTTATCCACCAGGATGCCCAATTGCCCTGCTTTTCAGGAGTGAATGGGACATCACATATTCAGATTCACATGTCTTATGGAATGTATTGAGAGACTTGTTGCGTTCATGCCTTTAGGTCTCACCAATACCATGCTAACAACGAGGGTGGGAGCTGAGGTACATGGTCGATCAATATAGGAATTCAACATATCTCGAGGATATTCTTTCTCATTCAAGTTTAATAGGCTTATGTTAACTTTTTGACTTCTAAATACAAATTTTATATAAAAAATTTATTATATTAATAAATAATAATTAAAATTTTTTTATTAAATAAAAATACTTAATAAGAACTACTTATAATTTTTTTTTAATTGTTATTCTTATAAATTGTTAAATTTTTATTTAAAATTTATGTTTAAAATTTAAAAAAATTAAATTAAGATAATTAAATTTGAATGGAAAGAATAGATTTTAATGAAATTTAGTCAAAATGAATGATTCAATAACACGAGAATGATTAACTTCTGTTATCTTGATTTTGGATTTTTATTTTCCCCTAGTATAGATTTGCTTTTATTTATCAACATTGTATGGATACCAATGATTTATTAGTTTGAATAAAAAGAATTTTGTTTCCCTTATAATATGTTTAGATTGAGAGAAGTGGAGGAGAAAAATATTCAAATGAGGGGAGGGGAGGGGAGGGGTGGGAAAAAGGTTCTTTTATTTGGTTATTAAAAAACTTAGAGGGGAAAGGAGGGGAAAAATTCTCTTTATTATTATTATTTTTTTGATCTACTTATTCAAATGAGTGGGATAAAGGGGAAAAGATATGAAAAATTCCTTTCCCCTCTATTTCTCTCAATCTGAATATAAGATTAAGTAAAATTTTAAGTTCAAATTTAATTTGTAAATAAGAAATAAGTGTTAAGAAAATTTTTTTTTTGGGGTTTGATATAATTTAATTTTAAATTAATTTAAATTTAATATAACTTTTATATATCAAGAGGTGAATAAAAAGAATTAACATTGTATAGATGGTGCCCTTATTTGCTACTAAGAAAAGTGTTATGTGCACTTGTGACTGTTGCTTTTTCTATTTTTATTTTTTTTGATAACGAAGGCACTCGAACCAATGAAGGTAGAGTGCACCTAACATCTTCCTTACCACTAATAATAGAAAACGGTACCGTGTGATGGAGATAAAAAGTTTTTCTTTTGGTAAAAATAG